GAATCGGTTTCGGTGTGAATGCAGCTTCACCTAGCATGTCGTCGCCTAAGCAATCACTATAAGGTCTTTGCTCACCAACCTAATATTTTTTAGGTGAAATAACGTTTTTCAGAGTCTATAAAAGAACAGCCTAAATTTAAAGTTATTTCTGTAGTATTATTCATCGTGATCCTAAACATTTTAAATGTATTTACTTAATAAAACTAAATTTTAGTCTCATGTTGACTTACATACTAACTTACCTTCTCCGCACAGCACAAAGGCAAAGAGGCGGCTCGACACACTGATGTTAATAATATTAATAACTACCCAAGCGTATCCAATTATGGCAGAATATGTAGATGAGAAATTTTACACATCAAACAACAAGCGTAGTCGTAGTTATGGCAGATGTTGATGGGAAATTTTATGCCAAATTTGAGAATCAGTGGAGTATCCATGATGAAGGACGGGACAGTGCGCCTGGGATGGCGCACACATTTCTTCTTTTAACGTTCAAAATCGATTTATGTGTATACAGTATATACGTATATAACATTATCCGCAAGACGTTTCAGATTTTATCTTTATTATATCCTGATTTATTTATAGAAAGTGTTTTTTTTAAGATCCTGTCTTCTCGTCAAATATAGGAATGAAAATAACGGGCTCCTTAAGGCAGTGGCGTTAAGGAGTTTGTGAGCCAGGGGGCCACGTAGGGCCCATGGTCGGGGTCCAGTGGATGAAGGCCCTTGGTGGGGGTCATAGCTTATGACATTTATGAACTGTTAATAGCGTTGTCAGAGAGCATATAATGGTCCATGCCTGATGAAATATTTCAGACAATTTTATGACAAAACCAACATAGATTAGGCCCCATAAAAAAATTATTTGTTTATCACCCAAAGAATAAAACTGATAGGCCTAAGGGAGGAAGGGAGGTTTTTTTTTTTTTTTTTTAATTTTGTTTTGCTAAGCCCGCCCCCATTTTACAGATGTTCTCAAGTAAATCAATGATTAGGAACACACACATAAAAATATAAAAACTCATAAGAATGCAATTAAATTTATATTTAAAAAATATGTTTTTGTTATGTTGCTTGAAAAAAAAATGGATTTCCCAGAAGGTGACGAGGGAGGGGGTGATAAACTAATAATTTTATTTATTTTATTTAAAACCATATTTTGAGTGGGCGAGCCTTGCAGAATAAATCTGAAGTTCAGGGGCCCACTTAAATACAAAAATATAAAAAGTATGTAAAAATATAGCCAATCTATCAATTTAGTCATAAAATTTAAAATCTAAATTTAAAAAATAGGCCTACTGTAACCCGATGTAGGCCTACTCTATGAAAGTGTAAATAAATCCAGAGAATATTTTAGTGAGAAGCAAAACATGTTTTAAGATAGTAGGCCTATATACTATTGGAACCCCAGATCATGGAATGTACAATTATTATTATTGTTCGTTATGTTGTCTTTCCCCTGCATCCACTAGAAACATCAAAGGGCACACGGTACAAAAACATGATAATGAATATGACAGGCTGAAACATATCCAAACCACTCTCGATAAATCAAGACACTACGCTCAAAATAAGTGTCACGCCCGACATCGATCAAGTGTGGTTTGCAAGAAAACCGCAACATAAACAAAACACTGCAGCGATCATTTACATTACCCTAGCCTGGGTTCCAGGCCCTAATTTTAGGTTACTCACTCTTTATTGCACTTAGTGCGCGCCATACCTAATTTAATTGGCGTCCCATACTCGATTTCTTTTTTTTTCGAATTATTCCGTCCATCCGTCTATCTCTAAATTAACTTTCTCGTTGGTGGCGCTGTCCAGAATGAGAAAAATAATTTAAAAAAATACGAGACTTGTGGCAAGTCTAACATTACCCTAGAGATGATGCGGTTTCTGTATGATGATGCCAGACTAACATTTTCCATGTTTATAACTGTTGGGGCCGCATTGAATGAAACTATGGTATTATAGTTTACAATTTATTTTTTGATAATTACGTGCCTGGGGCCCCCGACGCTCCGCCCCAAACGTGACCCCACTGCCTACAGGGGCCCGTGCCCTCGTCAGTCCCATTAAAAAATATAAAAGAGGACCTATGAATTCTGTCGCTGATCCAGCATTGAGCGAAAGGGGCGCTCGATTATTTTACCACTATTTTATATTTTGATTGACGACGGACACAACGCTATATCCCCGACGCCAATTTATTCCATTGATTCAGGAGGTCAAGAAAAGCCAAAAGAAGACGGTATTTTCAGCCAATTATTGGCCCAGTTAGAACAGTTATTCATGCTTGAAAATGTCTGTTAAAAAATTGATCCTTTTTCCTATTTATTGTTTACTCGACGACGAGAGTTGCTGGTACCGAGTTACCGCTGTCTCTTATACACATCCAGATGTGTATAAGAGACAGGTGTCATAGTATCACTGTGGGAAGTTTAACTTTCTTCCAGAAGTGCACGATTCTACCTGAAATTCAACCTCAGCCGCTCTACTAATGCATACAGACTCCCCCTCGCGAAACAGAGTCAGTGGTGTACCGAGTTTTATGCGCAGATGAGTGATTATGTCTCTAGGCAAAAATATCCCAAATATGCCTTGGTAGTCAAGCTAGTGTAAAAATTGTAGTAATAGATAGACACATAAAATTGTAGTAATAGATAGACACATTCTATGCAGGCCTACAGCACGGTCTTCGTAAGTATATAAACCAGAATAATATTGAATCTGGCACCGTATTTGAGTAGGTCTAGGCCTACAGTTAGGCTTATGCAGTATGACGTATGTCTTCAAGTTGTAGCAATTGTATGCTCCCTATTACTTAGTAGTGCTCGGAAACAAATTACTAGTACTTTGGACACGGTTAACTCACTATTTTACAACTAAAAGTTTTCTTTTATGAGAAAAAAAATCCCTGCCTATTAACAGTGAGCGTTTTTGTATACTTTTGCATGATTCATTGGTTGGTAACATTTAAGGATTTCTGTAGAACAGTCTGTAAATCAATGAAAGCTATTTTTACCTCCATCTGATTTTGATCGTTTTAAAAATAAAGTAAATGGGATGTTAAAATGATAAATGGGAGGTATGAACTAAAGCAAACTGCAGCAGCAAGTGGTTATTACTATCAAGTACAGGTTGGCATGTTTTGTGTCAGAAGATCAAAATGTAATTTTTTTGTTTGGAGTGAAGTTGACAATGTAATAGTTGATGTTCAGTTTGATCATGAATGGTTCAATGAAAAACTGAATATGCTAAAGGCAATTTATTTTAAAGAAATGTTGCCAGCCATTGCCAATTCAATAAATAAACATGAACTGAAAATTGTAAAACTGTAGGGATTAAATTCATGCAGAGTACAGTAGGCCTACGCCTGTACTTGGAAAGTGTGAATTTTACAGATTAGAAGTGTGAAGCTTAAATTGGCTATTACTGCAGCCATTCACCTGGCAAATCTTTCTTGCACCTTTTCCACTCATTCTTTTATTCCGGAGAATAATGGCTTAAAGTATTTCACAAAAGAATTTAACAACAAAAGAAAACAATCGCTTCGCTACTCTACTTCACAGTAACTGTACTGTATGTAAAAGCATAGGCACTTCCGGGTATCACTGGTACACCGCGGTGTCGTTGTACCCCAGGCAAGGTTGCCAGGTTAACGAAAGTTTTCTATCCCAATTATCGCGAAAATGGTGTATAAGAGCATGTATTATTTAATCATGAGTCACCAAAATTATGATGATAGTAAGACATAATAATGGTAATAATACATCCCATATAACAAAACCCTGAATATCTTTATCATTGTCAGTGCACAATGTACATTACTGTATAATACATAATAACCTTTTATTCTAAATTTAATTAAAGTTGTTTGTTTATAAATTTTATTATTTTAAAAAGGATAGGAACAACAGAGCAGTCGTTGTATTAAATAATGGCAGACTAAATTATGAAATTAAACAACTACCGGTATATACTTTAAAAAAATATTTTACACAATTAAACAAAGGAAATACTCGATTTGTCTAAACAATTTAACTTTATACATTCATCTATATTATGTTTTAGTTATATTTTTAAGTGATATATTTTATTAAGGAAATATATGTATTTATATCATGATATTGAAATTCTTGAACGCACAGTCATATAATATAACTAGAAATTGCAAATTGCAAGTGAAGTGCTGCGAAGTACAACTGCATATAAATGTTCTTCGAACAAAATTGTTTATGCGAGTCAAGTGAAAATAATGAATAATAAAACTATAACAAATAATATGAAACACGACCCATTTTCTATATTAGAACACTTCTCATTGGGTAACAAAGTCGTAATTTTTCATTTTTGTCAAAAAGTGTCTATAGTGTGGTGAATTATGGTTTAGGTTTTTTTTAAATAAAGTTTCAAAAATTTCTATGTATGTGGAAAATGTAGTTGATTACCAATGGTTACAATTTTTATTTTGAAGACTGCATGGTCTAGGAAGTGTACATTTTTTATGGGGAAAGTTTCCAAGGGCGTTTTTTCTAGGGGCGAGTTGACTGCCAAAGAGTGTTGCCAAAGTGCGAGCTAGCATGTTATTTGATAACAAGTGTGAGCCAGCGAGCCATGACGTCACGACAATAGATAGAGACGTTAGCCAGTTGTGCGAGGTATCGGCTGAGATTATGTGGAGTACAATTCAAAAAACAACTATAGGTCTAATAATGAATTATTGTGATGTTAAATAGACAATGTTAGCTATCAAAGAGCGACGTTGTTTTTCATTGGGACCCTCGTCTTCAAGGCTAGGCCTATATATACCATCCTAGCTAGTCTAGGCCTAGAGTAGGATAAGGCTAGCTCGGCATGCGGACGTTGGTACGAGTAGGTTAGTCTACAAACGTCGCCTAAAGTAATTGATTTTTCCCGGCAGAACGAAAGAAGGAAACTCCGCTTTTCAGCCGTCTTAGGCACTCGTTTTTTGACAAACAATGACCTTCTAGAGGTCAAATTCCTGTCAAGAATATGAATTGGCTGCTTCGCAGCAATAATTATTGTTGTTATTGTTATAGAAAATATGCTAAAAAATAAAAAACAATAAAATAAATTACATTGTTTTCATAATCAAACTGATCTATCAAATTGTTGATTTGTTTATATTTTGAGTGTAGCCCAGTTAGTGTTTAGCATAACATATTTTTTGCATATTTATTAGGAATCTGATTGGTCAATGAATTCAGCCTTAGTCATCTCCTGATCCTCAATCTCGCTGTAATGTGGATTAAGAAAGCCATGATTTGTGATAGCGCCCTCTGGTGTCTCGTCAGTTTCAAGATCGGTATCAATTCGTGACGGCAGAACCACAGGGTATATTTCCTGGCTGTTGTCGTCATCGACAATTTTAGGCGTCGTTGGGGACGTACCAGCGGGGCTATTGCTTATATCATCTACTAAACGTTTTCTCTTTTTGAAAAATCTCCTTGACTTCTTCACACTAACTTGAATATCATTGTCATCAACGACTGTTGAAACATCAGCCTCCGAATCATTTGCCATTCCCACTAAAAAAAAATAAATAAAAGTTTCAATAATAATAGTACTGTAATTATTTTAATAATAATTAAAATTATAATATTAATTATTGATGATGAAATTTAGAATATGGAACAGAATAACAAAATATAACTTGATCGACTGAGGTGCAGTATTAATAGCGCTGTGCATGGTGAGTAAAATGATTTTGGAGTACCGGTAATTTCTTAAAGAAACAAAATGCATTCTATTGTAAAAATATTTATAATATGCCTATGTAATTACATATATTTTCTTCTCACCCATGTTCCCAACTTTCCGCTTGAAGTCGTTCCCGACAACCGTTACGTGCTCTGTGATGTCCTTTCTGACGTCAGACATGTCCCACATCTTTTTGAAGTTCGAAAAAAACCGAGAACGTGGTCCATCGTTCTGGTATGGCTTATACGAAAATGAATAGTAATGGGCAATAGCTGCGAGAAACATCTCTATACAGATCAGAAAATCCTACAAAAAGAATGCTGTATTATAATTCTTTTGTTAATTGTAAAACTCCACTCAAAATGATATAGCCACAGAATGATAGGTATGTTTCGCAAGCTCACGATAACGATAACAATAACGATCATCAAAATGTTATGCCAATCCATCCCCACATTAGTATATCGGTCACATCTTAGGCCATCCTTGTCTTTTACAGGAATCAACAGTCATATAGCTCATAATATGAGCTATATAACTGTTGATTCCTGTAAAAGACATATTATGAAATGTCAAGAAAGTTTTAGGCAAAAATGACGATAATGATGAAGACGTATTTTGTATTCGTTATCGTTTTCGTAAGGTTGCAAAATCTCCCTTTTCATTTGCATAGAGCAAACTAAATAGGAATAATATGATACAGATATTTTTTTTCAACCTGACATATTATCGCATCCAGTACTCTGTACGTCCCCAAAATACTTGTGAAAACATCTCGCAATTTATCAAAGCATGGAATCAAACCCACGATAATTAGACAATTAGTCTCCAGAAATGTCCACTCAAGTGTGGTTATCTAGTTGTTATGATACCAGACTAGTAACTTTAAGTTATGGGTTCAATTCCCATTCATTTTTGAGAATTGTTTTCACATGAATGCCTATTTGGACACGTACTTATTATGTAGTCCGAAAACACGCCACCCTCCAGGTTACCATTGCTGTGTACTCATTTGTTGGATGAAAATCCAGTATAGTATCACTCCTTGGTATCAAGTTCTTCTGTCCAGATAATCAAAAATATTTATCCAGATGTAGTCATGATGCCACATGTTACGCCAAATACAATGTGATAATCAAATCATTTTATTGACTCTATACAGACACCATTTACATCTGTGGCACTCAGGTGCATCAACCATAACAAATAACTTAAAATAAAGCAACTAGAAAAATACATTAAAAATAAAACAGTTTGAGAAGCATGTAAAATTACTAAATATACAAACACACAAATGTACTTTATACATATATATATATATATACATATATATATATATACATATACATATATATACATACACACATATATATATAGGCCTACATATATATATATATATATATATATATATATACATATACACACACACACACACATCGCCCTGCATTTTAAGTCAGTATGGCGCACCACAGACACAAGCTCCTGCAAGCTCCCACCATCACAATAATGATACCCCATCACTAAGTGAGAGCCCGCATTAGCAAATATCTATAGAGCGCAACCCAGGCCAGATGCAAAGCGGCAACAATTGGTCAGTCGTTAAGTCTGACTGACCTTCCGTTAAGCTCTGTTAAATGTACCTGAATCGCTTTTCCAAAATCGTATTTGTCCATCCCCCATGATTCCTTAGGCTGAATTGCACCGGTATCGACGAGGATGTTGACGAATACAGACTGCCAGAAGGAGGCAAAAATCGTAAGCTTGATGCACAAGAATTTGCTTAGTGGCTTGATTGGTTCAAGTTCGTCTTTGGTAGCGTGGTAGAATAGAATCATGCAATAAAGAGCCCACTATAAAAAAAAAAAAATAAAAAAAAAAAAAAAAAAAAAAAAAAAACGATATGAAAAATACTATTATGTTTGCATACGTGAAAATTTTATATAAAAATTGTATTTTATGTCGAATATTGACGAAGAATGCAGGAGTACCGGTAGTTCATATAATTAATTTAGTGCTTCTAAAGTCAACATGTTACATGTTACAACAGTACCGTATTATATTTCTTTATCACAAATACATACACATATGTCATATAAATGCATTGTGTAAAACCTGCGACCATAACCATTAGTCCATAAATAGGCCTGTCTCTTTTACACA